GGCCTCGGGGCGGGGCCGCGGGGGCGGGGCCGCAGGGGACAGGAGCGGTGACAATGGGTGACACAGGGTGACAATGGGTGACACGGGGTGACAATAGGTGACAATGGGTGACAGGGGGACGGATGTGACAGGGAGGTGGTGTGGAGGGGGCAGGTGGCAGGGCAGGCGACAGGACAAGTGACAGGGAGGTGAAAGTGGTAGCAGTGGAGGTGATAGGACAGGTGACAGGAGCAGTGACAGGATAGGTGAGAGCAGCCATGGCAGGACAGATGACATGGGGTGACAGGAGATGTGACGGATGTGACAGGAAGCTGACACAGAGGTGCTGTGGAGTGGCAGGTGGCTGGGAAGGTGACAGGACAGGTAACAAGGAGGTGAGAGCGGTAGCAGTGGAGGTGACAGGACAGGTGACAGTAGCGACAGGAGCAGTGACAGGACAGGTGCTGTGGAGGTGACAAGTGACAGAAGCGCTGCTGAGAGGTAGCAGGAAGTGTCAGGCAGGTGACAAGGGAAAGGGACAGGTGACAGAGCAGTGACCAGGAGACAACAGTGGGGCTGGCAGGCGTTCTCCACCAGCCACTGCCATGGTGGGGGCTGCCACCATCCCTGGGGACAAGGGCGGTTAGTCCCCATGGCCCCTGGCACAGACGACAGCCAGCTGAACACTGCAACTGCTCCCTGGTAGGGGACACGTTCACGGGTGGCATCAAAGCGGGCTGGTTGCCATCATGTGGAGCAAAAATTACAGCCCATTGAGGTGTCACCTGCTAGCGTGGCTCGCAGGACACCTGGTGCCAGGCCTCGTGCCTCCAGGACTGCAGCTGCAGGCACAGACAAGGTCTTTGGGGAGGCACAACCTGGTGGCAGGAGGTTTGGGGTGCTCCGATCACGTCTGCAGGAGAGGACCCTGCCACCTCCTTGGCATTCCCGCATCCTGGCTCTTCACGAGCAGCGCCGCTCCGCTCCTGCACCCTGCCGGAGAAGCCGGGCTGGGCCCCTAGGCTCTGAGGATGCAGAGGATCCTCTTCATCCTTCTTTTTCCTTTTATTTTTTTTAGCTGCACCAGGACACACTTGGAGAACAGTGCTCCGCTTTCTGCACCGGCTTCCCCACATCGTCTAGGAAGAACCGAGCCCAGGCGGGCGTTGTTGGATGCTTTTATTTGAAATACTTTGAAGTAAACATTATAGCAAGGCACAAATGCCACTGCAGATTAAATAGATATGTGATGGCTTGGGAGTGCCCCCTGCTATCGTTACTCTACGTAGGCTACCTGGTAAAACATTCCCTAGGCTAATGTACACGGTATCAAAAAATACAAAGAGTCCAAACTGTTTGTATCAAAACACATTGAGACAAGAAAGTGAGCAGTTCAAATGCAATAAGATAAATAGTTCTTAAATTATTTAGACATTGTCATAGTAAACAATAACGAGCAGGATTCTGGCTCAACATAAAAAACAAAACAAAATGGTATAGAAGATAATTATATTACACAAAAGTATGTGTTTTTTGAGGGGAGGAAGTGACGCAACGGTATGGACAGAGAGTCAATATGACTACATGGAAAGAAGCAGCTCCAAAGTAATACATAAAACTGAGATAGGAGGAGAGCTCTGGAAGGAGCCGGAGCTTCAACCTAGAGCTGAGCCCGGCCAAGGGCTGCGCCCACCTCCCACGGCGACACGCGGCAGCCGACGCGTCCCCCGGCCCGTGACCGCCAGCCACATGTGAATCTCAGCTCTGAGATTCTCTCTGAGGAGGATTCAAATCCACGGCATTTCATTTAATTCCCTGGTGGGAAATAAGACTGCTACGAGGGCAATGACAAAACAAACAAACAAACAGAAACAATAAATCCAAAGCTTGGGTACAATGTAGGGCTCGTGCTCGTCCAGAATGCGGAAGGTCGTGGATCAGCCAACAGAGTCCCGACAGACGTGGTTCGCATGAGGCAGCATTATGAATTAAAAATATGGCCAACAAAGGCAGGATGGGAAGAGAAAAACAAGTCATAAATACCAGAAGGAAAGAAAACAAGACCGGGAAGGCAAGGCTGGGGCTCCAGGCAGAGGCCGAGGCAGTGCACGCTCAAAGGAAGAGAGCTCATCGTTGCAGAAAGTGCTCCTTGATCCTCAGGAGATGGACAAATTCCAGCGAGGAGTCTCGCCCTGCTTTCCCTTGTCACCTCTCTGATCTGGCAGAGATTTTAGTGCTTAGGATGCAACGACATTTTGTTCTTTTTTTTTTCTCCTTTTCTTTTTTTTTGAATTTCCCTTACAAATAGAAGTTAACGGAAAGCAATGTCCATCCCGAGAAACCAGCAGAATACTTAAAAGGTTTGCCCCATCCCCACCTGGTATTTTGAGTAAAACACCCCCCCGAACAAACAAACAAACAAAAAACCCCAAACAACCAAAAAGTGTTTTTGTTGTTGTTTGTTTTAAGTCTTAAGAGACTTTGAATGATTGCTCTGAGAGGTGCTATTAGGACCCTCCATGCCACACGTCTGACTGTGTTCACAAAGAGCTGAGTCAGTCTTGCACTCTTTGCATTTCAGGTCATCTTCTTCTGCTGTAGTGTTCATCTCACCATTATACCCCTCGTGTCCATTCTCACTCGCCTCTGGTTGTAATTTCTCCCTCTCCTCTTCTCCCTCCTCCTGCTCTTCATTGTCATCATCATCATCATCGTCGTCTTCCTCCTCCTCCTCCTCCTCGTCTTTCACTTTATGAACGATGAAGAGGTGCCTGTTCAGGGAGATCTGGGACGTGTAACACAAGCCACAGAACAAGCACTGATACGTGGAGCTGTCCGTCTTGTGCTGAGGTATGTGCTGCTGAAATTCCGTGCTGATGTCTGTCGCAAATCCGCACTTAGCACATTTCCAGGGTGCCCTCAGTTTTTTGGCTGGTGGCCCGTCTGAACCCGCAGTGGTCTCTGCCTGACCCAGCTCATCTGTCGACATCCTCTTTGGAGATTTTGCCTTAAAAATAAGATGTGAGAGTTACTTCGTTTTGCTAGCAGCATGTCAGAGCAAGCACCTTAGCTTGCTCAATTCCATGCACGTATCTAAAGGCATTTGAGGGGAAAAACACACCGCTATTTTGTTACAAACTAAAACGAAGCCACTTCTAGGGTCTCCCACTGTGTTGTCTTTTTTGCAAGTACCTCGACACCTCAGCTCACTGCAAGCTCAATCCCAGCAGCTTGCACCTTCATCCCAATATGCAGCATCTCAGCTGCTACCCTCCTGCATGAGTTGGGAGATCTGGGAGGGATTGATTGTATGGAGATATGATGGGGAGGATGGATTTGAACGTGATGAGGAAAATAAGAAGGGTCAGAAAAGGGAAACGTGACGAGAAGAAGCCTGCTGCATGGTCACAGCTGAGGGACACGGGGATCGTAACCCTGAGGGCTGCTCACTTGCACATGCTATTTCACATGACCTTTTTACCTATGTCTCTACTTAAGGCACAGTCAGGGCTGTGTTTGCAGACCCAGTGAGAGACCCATGAAGTTACTGTCTGTCCACGATTTTGGCCAAGTGTGCCCTGAACACAGCAGTTCTGCTGGGTGGAAGCAGCAAACAGCCCTGGAAGGACATTCCTGGGCTGATCCATGCGTTTCCGTGTCACTGCAGGCAGCACACAAATATATGGCATAAATACAGTGGGGAGTCAATCGTGATCCCTCTGCACTACACTACAAATGAATGATAATTAATAACAAGGAAAACCTACTTATAGAGTAAATGGAGTAAAGGAAACTCATTCAGCAACCTCTCTCCCTTTCCCAAACCAATCCAAAATAAAATTAGCTGAACATTAACATTTGTTGAATAAATTTGCCCAGTTCTACTTAGGAGAAACGCAGTTCTTCTAGGTAGCAGGTCTAGTAAGATTTTTAAATGGAAAAGGAATCTTTACTTAGGTAACAATAAAAGCAAGGTAGAAAACAGGAAAAATTGTATGAGGTTACTGGACCTCAAGGAAACAGAATATATCACACAGAGGAAAACCAGGGCAATTACAAACCTAAATTAGATCTGGTTATATAAAAGACTGACAAAAGGCCACAAGAGCACAGGGTCTCACGTTCTAAAGTATCTTGACAAAATGCAAGATACTCTGCCCCGGTGCTGCTGCAGCTCAGCTACGCTCTCACTTTTGCTCAAAACAGTGTGAAAATGAAACCAAGTGGGTGGAGTTTAGAGAACAGGAAAGAAATCTGCTGTATGGATGAGCGGGCCTTGCTGCTGCAGGGCTGCAGCTCGATGAGACGCCCTAAGTGAACAGCTACTCGCCAGAGATATTTATGTTTCAATGAAAATGTATCAGTTACTTCTGCTGCGTCTCTCTCTGGAACTTTTGCTTTGGCCATCTGGGATAAGTCCGGGTTTTTGATGCCATGCATGAGACTGATGTGGTTCTCCAGCATGAACGGCTGAGGAAACGTCTGGTTTTCATCTGTGCAGTACCTTGGAAACACAAAAGGAGGAAAAATATTAGAGCAGAGGCCCAACTGCTCATTTCTATACAAACAGCCTTTAGTTAGGTGTCAAACCAATAGATGTCATTGCAGACAGAAGCTGGTGGGTAATGCACAATTAAGATTACCAAAATATGCAGCAAATTGCTGTTTTAATAATAAAACATTATCCCTAATGGAAGTCAACAGCAGTTCAGAGTAAGCATAAAGGAGAATGAAAATAGGGCACTTATTTATGGTACATTAGCAAATAAATACCAGGAGTAGCAGTGATGAGGCCCCCTGTGACACATGTTACACTGGCACAAGATAAACAGTCGAGGTGGAAAAAGGGTGATGGGAGCAAATTTACTCTCAGGTAAAGAGAAACCACGTGAGAAACCAGCGCACAGAGGGACCCTGTGACTCGTGTGACCCAAGTTCAGCACCCAGCTGTCCCAAGCACCGGTGTAGTATCTCCTCTCCAGACCATTGCAACACACAAAGTTCGTGTAACACTGTTAAACTTGCAGCTTTGATAACGATAATGTAGTCAAAAACATCTGCAAATACGTAGCTCATATACATACAGGTTAAGAGTTGATGGGATTCAATAGCTATGCAAGAACACGGCTGAACCTTCCAAAGGTCTCCAGCAGGTTGAGGGAGGTGATCCTGCCCCTCTTCTCCACCCTGGTGAGGCCACATCTGGAGTATTGTGTCCAGTTCTGGGCTCCACAGGACAAGAGGGATGTGGAGCTGCTGGAGCGACGCCAGCATGGGGCTACAAGGATGATCAGGAGCCTGGAACATCTGCCCTATGAGGAGAGGCTGAGGGAGCTGGGCCTGTTCAGCTGGAGAAGAGAAGGCTGAGAGGGGACCTGAGCAGTGTCTAGAAGTACCTCAAGGGAGGCAGTGAGGAGGATGGGGCGGCCTCTTTTCACTGGTGGCCACTGATAGAACTAGAGAAAACAGCCAGAAACTGAAGCATCCAAAGTTCCACAGGAACTTGAGGAAAAATTAACAGTGAGGGTGCCAGAGCGCTGGAACAGGCTGCCCAGAGAGGTTGTGGAGTCTCCTTCTCTGGAGATCTTCAAACCCGCTTGGACGCAGTCCTGTGCCACGTGCGCTAGGTGACCCTGCGTTGGACTAGATGACCTCTAGAGGTCCCTTCCACCCTTAACCATTCTATGATTCTATGAAAGGGGGTGACCAGTATCACCTGCTAACCTCTCCTCCCTGATGCCTGAGGTCTACTGGAAACAAGGTCTTGCAGCCACATTAAAAATAAAACAATAATCCCTGCAGCATGGGCAAGTCCACACTGGACTCCATGAGGAGCTGGGAAACCCAGGTCCACTTCTAACTCCTCTGCTTCATGATGCGGGGAAGGTCTGCAAGCTCTGCATCAACACAAGAAATTAGGAAAGCAAGACAAGACTTCTGCCAAGCACATAAATTACAATTGAAATGTGGGCAGCAAGAGATGAAAAGCAGCAGACAGAGGACGAAGAATAAGTTCCCTACTGATCATCTAGCTCCTTTACTAGATGGAAATTAAACAACAGTTAGTAATGATGTGAAAAGGCAGACATGCTCACTAAATATTTCTGTTTTTTAACTGAAACCACTTGGATGATAAATCAATATTTAATAATGATGGGATTTTTCTCCCTCACGGAGGCAGTAAGAGCAGCTATTAAGTAGCATTTATCAAAAATAAACATTTCTAAAATCAAGCGTTCTACACAGCCTGTGCTTAAAACTTGGAAAATAACTGCCAGTTCCGATAACAATAACCAAGTGAATTATGGAGGAAAAAAAAAGACAAAACATCCGATTATTTTGCAATTTGCTGCAATTTGGAATCCTTCCCATGTGGGCAGGGAAAGATGCTTTCCTAACCTTCATTACTCCAGTAGCAAGCTTGGCAGAAGGGTGCTCAGGCAAATCCTCCATCACTAATTTCTCCCTAAAAAGTTAACAGAAGGCAGAGACCTAAGCAGGGCAGGGAGAAAAGGAGAAAATCACATCTTGAAACGTCAAAGCAAGGGGGAGACGGCCTACAAGAAAGTGTGTTGCAAGATATACTCAGATGAATTAGAAATTTACTCATACTTCCATATTTCACATGGAACTATGCAGGAGTAAAGGGACTGACATGAAGTCAAGGCACTAAAAACTGGGAAGGGAACAACAGTGAGTAGCAAGACTGACACAAGGCCTGGTAGGAGGAAGGAAAGCAGGTATCAGAACCCAACGAAAGATACATGGCCTTAAAGAGGACATGAAACAGCCAGAGGAGGAATTTAAAATGATGAGAGGATGTGTAAGTGACAGTAGCAAAGCTGGACAAACTAGGGACTGAACCTGTTGAGAAACACAGAGGCTGTGGAAAAGAGCAGCTAGGTAAAGACCAGAAGGACAAAGATTCCCATCTACTACTGTAGAGGCTTTCCTTGGTTCTAATGTGCCCAAGGATGAAGATGGTTGGAGGTGCCTCTGAGGGCAATCAAAGATGGGGCGTGTAAATAAGGAGAAGAACAACCAGAGACTGAATATCCAGACACACCAAAGTCAATCAGATGACAAAGCAAAGACCAAAGAGAAGACCTTGGACCCAAAGAGAAGCTGTTGAAAGTGCTGGGACAAGCGTTTCAAGAAAGTGATTTAATCTGAAGGATGCCAGGACCTCAGTAAGTCTGTCACTGCTATAATGAAAAAGAACACAAACCCTACCCAATTAAGACTTCATGGGTGCATTTTGAGTAGGGGAAATTATCAGCTGGAGAATTAAACACAACCACGGTTCATTTGAAGGTGTAGTTGGGTCTTCTCTACTGCAGATATGATACCACTTTGGGTACTCGGGTGAAGCTTTGCATCTCCAACTGCCTGTTGTTCTGAAAAGCAACAGAAAAACTGAACTCCTGCATCTATACACACTAATGTGTACGACAGGCTGGCAAGCCCCAGGTTATTATGCATTTCTATAGAAATGCTTCGTCCCAGCTAGGCGTTAACGTTCACTGCACGACACTTCCACTCAGCAAACAAGTGGGCCAGAGAGCGGATTTACACAAGCCAGGTACATGAAACTCCTTAAACCACTGCCTGCAAACATATAATGGAACAAAATATACTGGGGGCCAATGTTTCGTCTTCTCCAAAGATGCCAAGTCATATCTCAGCACACAGAAATGGTAAGCACAGAAGTCCTGGCTCAAAAACACATGGGGAACTCACTCCTTAATGGTGTTGTCGGTACTTCGGCCATTTATTAAAAGCTACTTAGGCTCACGGCGCTGCCCAGAGAAATAAAGCACATGAGGGAGGTACTCTTCAAAACAGCCTTTTAGTAATTTTAAGTGCAGCAAATGGATAGAAAAATTGTCTTAGAAATACTTGCACTGAACCAAAATTTTAGTTAAACAACTAATCCCACAACCTATGTCACAGGAAACTTCCTTATGAGCAGAAATGTGCTTTAATTGGTTTTCAGAGGGATGTCTCAGAATGAGAGAGTAATCAGGTAGGCATAAATGCTTCATGTGCGACTTATGCTATTACAATAGACTGGAACACAATGACTGTGGAGGCATTTTTATAATCATTGCACTTCTCCCTGAAATGAGACAGCATTTGGAGGCTAAAATGCTCATTGGCAGCAATATTCACTCATTGCTGATCGACGAAACTCACTGGAGGTCTCCAGATCCATTTTCCAACTTCGAGGTCCATCCTTCCAAGGAAATCCTGCAGGCTTAATCCTGTCCTGCAGCCTGGCAGTCAGCTCTTGCTTGTGTAAAGACTGGTGGTGAGATCATGTGCCTTGATTTGTTTTATACCCCTATTGCACCATTTTTGCACCACTTTTTTCTTTCCATGGGGAAGGCACAGGAGTCATGCACGACTACACAAATTAGGAACCAATGTGAGACTGGCCCAGTATTTTATCGGCCATTTCACAAAAGCATGCAATATAAGTCTCATTTTGCACCTGCAGATCTCAAATCAGACCTTACCCTATGTTTCCAAAGAGAATTTTGCAGCCAAAACCAAGGACTTTAGTCATCAATTCTCTCACGTCTAACACATTCATCTTTCCATTCTCCCTCAGCACTTAGGAGCCTGGAGCAGATTGCAGCAGACATGATCTCTTACAAAGGGTTTGAAAGTCCAATCTGTTGCTGAAACACAGTTCGAAGAAGGGCACTGAGGACTTACCAGCAAGTGTAAACTTTCTTTGCTGTGTCGTGGTTATTGCGGATGTGTCTGCGCAGACTGTTGGAGGCATTGAAGGAGCGTTCGCACTGCCGACAGGGGTATCTCTTCATGGGCTAGCAGAAGAACAGAAACATCTTTTAATAAAGGGGAGATGGAAGACATTGACTGGATTCTACAACAAGCTGTTCCCCTGGACCTCATCTCTCAGTTGCAAAAAAATCCCTCTTCCATTCAAAGAGAGATTTTGTTGTCTCTTATATACATAGCCCAATGGTTGACTAATCTCTGCACTGGTTTTCTAGAAACCAGGACAAGTTAAAGCATATGCCTCTTTTTTTTTTTTTTTTTTTCTTCCTTTTTTTTTTTTTAATAGGCATCACATTAGTTACTCCTGCTGTGGGTCCACTTCACTATAGGACCCTCTGGAATTAATTCAACAGTCACAAAATGATCTCCAGCCCTAACTTGCACAGAACCCTCTGAAAAACGTTCTGCTCTTTGGGTTCCTGCTGGTTGTTTCGGCGGGAACCAAACAGAGGGAAAGGAGCAGACATCAGACACCATCTCTGCTATGCTAAGAGCAGGTAAAACTCCTGTCCTCTCCCCCCAAATAAGGCAGGTTCACTTACCCTTCTCTTTCCTCTCATTTCCACATAATAAAAAGTAGGATGTTAGAGAGCATCAGACAGCCCCAGTTGCACCCATTTATTTCTATGTCTCCTGATGTAACTCTGCCCTCTAAATATCATCCTTCTTTTCCTACATCTATCTGAAATATGCTCCTTGGCAGAACCCACCTTCAAGTCTTTCTGGACTTTTTTAATGGATGAATGTGTGTATTAACTCTTTGGCAAATTTCCTACTTCTGTAGAAGTAGAATGAGGAATCCAGCAGTCTCACCATGACCCAATCTTCTCCTCTTGGCATTAGCAAGTGCACAATCACACACTCCCCAATTCAAGCTAGAGGGAATCATGGATGATGATCCAGATTTCCACAGTCTCTGCACAGGGGCCTCGAAATAAGAGTGACTCAGTGCATCAAATGAGAAGTCCTGATACCAAAGTGCTAAGAAAACTGGCTGCACACAACATCTTGGCCTATGTTCTGTGAGTGAGTGAGAATTAGCTTGACAGAACTAGGTCAAAATAATACAAGACTTCGGCGGTATAAAAACAACAACATTGAGATTTACACTTCCTAAAATGATAGCTCTGTGCAGTGAGGTTGGCAATTACAAAGATCTTCCACAGTCAGTCGTCCCATGATACTCAGCAAACAAAACTTTGATTAGAGGAACTGCATTTCCTTCCTTAACTTTATGTTCCATTTGTTTAGGCCACTTTTTACAGTAACTACAACTGTACTCCCAGTTACATTTTTGCTCAGAATACAGTCCATGCTATGCTGCACTGGATCATGGGGTAGGTCTGTATCATCCCTAACATTGTCCTACTAGAGGAAGAGCATCTGCTGAAGGAAGCTGTAAATACAACTCAGGAGTGTTCCTCCTCGTGCTGCTGCCTGTTGCGAAGATGCAACTCTCTGTCCACTTCCTCAAATAAGCAGATGACAAAGCCTGACACTAGACACTATTGGGAGAAGGGACAGCAAAAAAGGATGAGGTACACAGGCTGCTGGACGTACTACCAAGGACATAAAGTGGGCCTACAACACTCCATCTCATTATTTCATTCTGGCCTCCTCCTCGCACTCCTCACTGAGTTGACAGACACGTTCTCAGTTGCTTTTTGCCCCAAATATTAATTATTATCAGATTGTGCTATTTAAAGGATCTTGTTATGTAGCTCAAGCATTTCATTTGTGTCCTTACCATTCCATGGTTTCTCTTCATGTGGGACACATAGGTTTCCCGATCGGGGATCCACTGTGAACATTCCTTACAAGTCCAACCACTTCTTCTCAGTCTGGACTTTGATTCGTGGTCCACCCTCATGTCCTTCCTCGTGAGGGAGGAGTGGGAAGTCCCATTGGCTACGGACAGATCCTTTGGTGCGGTGTGAACCTGGTTCCTCGATGCCTTCTCAGACTTCTGTCGAAAGTTTATGAGCTCCTCAGGATTCTGGGGGACTCCATGAACACCCTGAATAACAATAAGAATTGAATCAAACATGGCATTTGTACATTATATGTTTATAAACTGAGATACATTATAATATTTATCATTTAAATAAATAACCTAAGCCCCCTAACAACAATATGTTCATGACTTGCCCCAGTAAATCCTCCTGTTTCCCCATGAAATCGTTTCTAAAGCTTTGCCTGACCAAAGATTTTCCCACAGAAACACAAAGCTCTCATTTACGTTCCCTGCATGACAACAGCAGTTCCTTGGTGCTGTCTGTTCAACATTTGGGATGAGAACTCCGGTAAAAAAAAAGGGAAGATGTAATGATGTAATGAAAGAGCAATGTTAATTATCATTATTTCAAGAGTCTGAATGCTAAAAAGACACAGAGCTGGTAAACTATATAAAACATTTGCTGTTTTCTTGGGACCTCCAAAGCTGCTTGATCTTTGCTCAAGGGAAAAGACAACCTCTCACTGTTTCTCCAGCCCTACTTTCTACAATCTCACATCTATCGCTACATACATTTTCACAGTTCAAGACTTTGCTCTTTTACAAATAAAAGCGAGTATTAAGCCAAAAAGTAGCTTTATAAGGAGTATTTCTTCAGGCTTCTTGGCCATTCAAAAGGCCAAAATCCAAAGTCCTCCCAGAAGTTATTTCGACAAAGAAAACTGAACATAAAAAAAAAAAATCCAAAAACGAAGAGCTGTGGGAAAGCAAAAGCAAATAAAATAGCAACATACCAACAAAACCTCAAGAAACTCCCCTAGGAACAGCAATGGTTCATCCGCACAAAAGGATAATTTAGAGGTTTAATTGTGCACAATAATTCATAACTGGTGAAGTTTCAACACACAGAAGCCCCAGGCCTCTGGAAGTCCTGCCCTGGGGCAGACACTGAGCAACAACTTCCAACTGCAAGGTCGGTCCTGTCTGCTCCGCACCTGAGCCAGCCGCTGTCCGCAGGAGCCGTGGGGGAACCACAGCCGGAGCCGCGGCACCGCTGCCTGCCTAGGCCAACACAAACCCTGCACGTTCCTCCCCGTGTGGAAAGCCAAGGAGTGTTTGATGGGCAAAGAACACATTAGTACCCATTATTCCATTCCTCCTGCTATTACGCCACAGAAGGAGAGAAAATGATACAAAATAATTAAAAAAAAAGCAGCATGGAAAAGCAAACTGACTTCACTGCAGAGACAACAATGGTAACCAGACCATCTAACTCCTACTCTTATATTTTAACAAGAGAAAGGCAGAAAAGACATGAAGGCACAAGGTTTCTTTACTTTTTATGTGGGCAAAAATCAGAGAGCACCTATTATGAATTCTATACTGCATAAAGGAGCCCGAATTGGCCCGAGAGATCGGCTTGTGCAACCATTACTCTGCAACAGCCAAAAAAGCTTCTTCAGTTGCCATCTAAGATCCAACGAGGGTCAAAATGTGTTAAAAGTCAAAAGTTTTGCATTCAAGGTGTCAGAGCACCGGGGCACAAACTGTTGCAGGCTGATGCTAGGACTGCAATTTGGAAATGAGCTGCAACAAGTTGTGCACCTCAAGCTCATTTAATAGCACTGGGTTTGAACGACTCTTTGGAAGTCCTGTCCTTAATCTCAGCTTTATTTTCTCTGCTATAATAAGGGATAATTAGTAATCATCAACTTCACAGGAGGGCTTCATATTTTAATTCATTAACACAGGGAAAGTAATCCCAGATTTGCAAGTTAAAGGTATAGGGGTGAGAGCAAAGAGGCAGTTTTGAGTGGTTTTCACTTTCGGGAGTGTGCAAACCAAACTTCCTGCTTTTTTAAAGCACAAGAATAAACAAAATAAAATCCGTGATTTAAACAACTCTTTCTAATCAAAGGCAAGTAAGACTTTGCAAGCTCTTCTTTTCCAGAAAGCCATCAAGAACTCCTCCAAGAGGATTTCCATGGCAGCGTTGTTGGATAACTGTACATACAGCCGCACTGACGGAAACAACAATAAATGTAGAAATGTGGAAAATAACAGGCTTTTCATATGTATAAAAGTGCTATGAATGGTAGTGAAATTACTGCACTGCTTCTTGGAATATGAGCTACAGTTGAAAGAAAGGCATGCTTGGAAGTGCTTTCCATATCCCTAGCATAAATAACTGCCTGTACTACTACCCATGTTTCCATGTTTCCAGAGGGCTAGAAGTTTTTGTAATGTATTTTTCCACTAATGCATTGACTAATCCAAACTTGCTGCTTCTTCCAACCATCCCCTTTCACAGGTGCTGCAAACTCTCCATGGGCTCAGAAAATAAGCCCTCGTATCAGCAAGCTGGTGGCCGTCACCTACCTTAACGTGCTGCATCAACTGCTGTTTCTGCATATACACCAGCTGACACTGTGGGCACTTGAACACTCCCACTAGCAGCTTGTTGGTATTCTGCTGAAAGTGCTCCTGCAGCAGCTTCTTCTTGTTAAAGACAGTCTCGCAAGAGCATTTGTAGATCACCCTGGAGAAATTCAAAGAGAGGAAAAAAAAAAAAAGTAAACTCTCTCTTCGTTATTTTTCTCGAGACAGTGGAAAGAGCCATCTCAGCAACTTTGCGCTTCCGATGAGCTCTGCCTTCTTGGTTCACTGTCAGCACGCACCCACATGGACCACTGAACCACTAGCTTGGTTGGGAAGAACAAGAGAGCGCCTCAGGCACCTACCACAGTTTTCCAAAAATAAGTTTGCTTAGATGCATCTGCATAACTACCTGCGTGCGTGAAAGTAGGTGTAGATATGTGGGAGCAGCTTCAAAGCACACAAGCTACATATTACTTCCCATCTGAGCTTTTCACAGCCTTAAGGCACACATTCTCAGCCCAAGTTCAAGGCTTGGAAGGGAAAGATATGGAGTGGAAAAGGAAAGGAGGTTTTCTCTAGTGATTTGGTGGTACATGGTATAACTCTCCTCTCCCTTTGGAGTGCCAGATTTAACAGCTATCCTGGATTCATTTACCAAGAGGTGCCACTCTGGCTCCTGCTGGACAAAGAGGTGATGGTCAAGATGCCTTTTTTGCACTCCTGGACTCCTACCCGAGAAGACTGTGTTCTTATTAAGGAGAGTGGGCCACAGTTAGGGATGAACCTCTGTCAGTGGACAAAGCAGCAGCTCTTCTTCTGTCACAAAGACAGAAACTACTAATAATAAAAATAATAATAAAACTGGGATAGAATTGGGGAATTCTGGAGCTACCCAGCAAAGGGTAAGTCAGAGCTCCAGCTAATTGCAAAATACTTACTGAGTAGTCTTGTGAGGCTCCGTTGGGTGCTGGCTAGTCATGTGAGCCGTGGTGCTGTCTGCTGACTTGAAGGCCATGGGACAAAAAGAACACTTGTGGAAGACTTCGCAGTGTTTCTCATGAATGTGCACTTTCAGCATGGCTAAGGTCATGAAGACAACCCCACAATGGATGCACCTGGAAGACACACGAGAGGAAGAGCTGAAGGACCTGTGCTGCCAACAAACACACACAACTGGAGGGCATCGCAGCGGGAGGCACCACAACAAGGTGGGCTCCCTTTCAGGCACTTCAGCAGCAATGTCTTGGCAAGGAGAAATATGACATAGGAATTCAAAAACTGGGCACACCTCACAACTACATGTAGTAACATTCAAAAAGAACTATGAAAGAAGCCATCAGAGCTCCGAACAACACAGAAAAAAGTAAAAAGAGGTTTGGCAGCTTGGCAAAAAGGCAATCCCTGCATCTGTGAAAGCCAGTTCAAGTCACAAGTACAAGTGAAGAACTCAAAAAACAAAAGTAGCTGTTGAGCTCTATGAGTAGTAAGAGGCAGCACAAATGACAGTTATTCCTCAGTACAAAACAAAACTGAAACAAAAAGAGCACCAGAAGAACATTCAGCTCAGAAATCTTCAGTAAGACATATGATTGCTCCTCTCATACTACACTAAGCAAGAAGAAATAATATCAGAAGCAGCAAACATACTAAAAACTGTTACAGAAACATGCACAGAATTGATTAAGCTCATTAAAATCATGAGGATACAGGTGTTTGACTGAGCAGTGCTTGGCCTGGCACTTGGGGGGACACTCCTGGAGGAAAGGAGGCGAGGAAGAGCTTGCAGGGGTGCTGCATGGAGCCAAAGGACTCTTGTGTGCAGAGAAATCCCCAAACCTCAGGGCAGGAGCTGCGGTCACGCAGCCCTGCCCAGCCTGCCGCTCCTCTCAAAGCTCTTCGGGACAGGCCTCCACTTGATACTCCCCAGGAGAGCAACGAGTGACAGCCGTACTATATTTAGCTTTACCATCCCTTCCAAACATCCACCTGACTCTCGAGCTTATTAAGGAAACCACAAACAAACACTCTGAGGGCACATGAGGATGGAGGTACCTGGCCTCGCCTGGCGTGGGCCAGGCCAGCTGAGGAGTTTGCCCCCTTGAGCAGGTCATATAGGTCCAGCTGGGAACCAAAGCGGCTCTGGTGATTGTTCCCAAGTAGATTCCACCAAAATGACTTACAACAGACCCCTGCGTAAGCTAACGCAGCACGTGGTGATTGTTACAATGAACGAGCTCTACCAGGAGGAGCTTGGCAGCTCCACGGGACAGGACAGTGCTACGTGGACACGAGAGACAAATGAGGGCTAATTTCACCCAGGGAGCCAGCCTGCAGCCCGGGGTTAAGCTGCTTTATAAATACAACATATTTTTTGCCCTGGTTCTGAGGTTTCCCATGTACTGAGAGCACCACAAGCGCTGGAGCTCTCAGCGGCGCTGCGGCAGCCGGTGCAGCACCAGCTCTGTCCCAGATGGGACCCCAGCAACTGGAAAAGCGCCAAACCTGTATCAAAAACAAACAAAGCCACCAGATTATCCCTCCATCCAAATGAGCCGACTGACAGAGCGCAGGAAACAGCTCGGGGCTTTGAAGCTGCACTTCAAAAGACCTCCATGCAGGGGCCAGCCCAAGCTATCCAAACCCTCTTCCCCTAAATACACGCAGAAATGCCATTTTCTTAAATTTAGAAAGAAAATCAGTGTCACCAACAGCTGTTGCTGTCTTCCGAAAAGCACAAAAATACTCTACGGGGGTAGTTGTGCTTCAAACCTGTCCCTCAGTCATACGAGTTGCAGAAAGGGACTTCTGTGACAGCCGGGAATTGTGTCCCTACAGGAGATTAAATTCCCAAGTATAAATGGAAGAACAAATACTGATTTGGACAATAAGATCCAGCCATTACACCCAGGAATATCTGTCTGGATTCTTCCACAAACACTCACCGAATTAACAAGAGATGTCTCTGCATTACTTGGGCTTTGGTAAGTACTAAAGATCTTATACAGAATTAGCGATGGAATAACTCCTAACTCCGGGTCAAGTTGATTTAATTTACAGTAAATGAGAAGTTTAAACAAAAGCCTCTTCATAAGCAAGTGCTCCAGTGCCAAAAGGACAAACTTTGATAAGGTAAGCTCATTAGAGGAGCAGAGTGGATGGAGGATCTGTGAGGCCTGCCATGTAATTTCTGCAAATAATAAATTCTGATTATCATCCAGAAAAAACATCCCAAGCGCAGGGGAATAAATAGTTCACATGAGAAGATACTAGGATGGCTGCAGGGCAAGGAGGAGTAGGGGAAAAGCCTTGGAAAGTGTCCCACAAGAAGAGATATAGCTACAAGATGTTGTCTTAACCTTCTAAATATTCCTTTCTTACGCTGTCATGTCCTGGCCCCTGAGAAGGCTCCCCAGAGCAAGGAAACGAATGTCACGCAGTGCCACGTCAGTGGGGAGAGCTGGAAGGTGCTGGAGTTTCTCGGAAACGGGCGTGGAGGTGACATTTGGAGATGCACAGAAAAGCTGCATTCAGAGCACGCGTCTTCCATTTTGATGAACCTTCCCCTCGTCTTCAGTGTAATCACTAGCTACGACCGGACCAAATTAAAACAATCCCATGCCAAACTCAGTTGGGTTACTTAGGATGTTGGCAGAAAAGGAAACAAAAAATGGACTCATCAAAAACAAAACCAAGCTCAGAAAATCAAGAAATACAGGGATATGGTAAGAAGCAGCAAAAGTCAAGCTGATCCTGTGAAGGATTTCAAAGGACTCCCAGGCTTTTCACTTCTGCAAGAAGCAAAAGCACAAGCAAAGTACCAAAGTCTCTGTGTGACAACAAGGCAGATGCCATGGATTATCTAGAGCTGGTTCTGCAACTGAAATATTTCATCTGCTTTCAACAACAGCATCAAAACCAAACCCAGAGGAAAGACATGAAGAATAACAAGGATGTCCCAGTTGCAGACATTCACCTGCCTGGTGGATTCAGCTTCTACAGGTGACTTGGAGTGGAGAATTAGAGAGAAGTTAAAGAAATGTAACTTCTGGAGAAGGCAGCTGAAGCTTAAGAATTCCCTAAGCATCATCCTTGAGTTCTGTCTTGCTTCAGATCTTCATTAATGACCTTGGCACAGAAAGCAGACACGCACTAATGACATCTGCAGATGGATCAAAGCTAGCATTACTGACAAGGCTGAAGCCATCATAAAGATATTACTGTAATACAGCTGGAATGAATAATATTTTTTTTAATGCAAAATCATCCACTTAGGAATAAGCACCAATCTCTGCAGCAAACTGGATCCCATCAACTGGAAAGAGAGGCGAAAGGACTTTTTTGTTCCCCCAGCCTTCCTTCTCTCTCAAGGGAGAATTCAACGGCATCGGTATTGCAGCCATTTTATTTGCAAGAGACTTAATTTTTTTGTAGGTTATGCCCCCTGCAATCGGGCCCCGTGTAAAAAGAAAAGTCTGTATACAATTAAACGCAGAATCATTTTAATATACGCCTCTTTGTGGTTGAAAATAAAACGCCCTTGAAAACTGAAATGTGATTTAACCACAAAGAGGAGGCTTCATGAATCTGCAGCCAGTCTAGAAGAACAAGCCAAACAGAAGATACTGCCCTATTCCCTTTAAATTTCAGAGCTAAATATGTAATAGTGATCCGAGAAAAATAACAGGACTTTAAGGACAATCAAAAGGTCTCTGTATCCACTGTTCATCTCCCTCGCAAATCATCTGTATCTTAACAAAAGAGCAGTCCTGCACCCATGGTGATCTCAATACATAAAGCAGGCAAGGTTTACAGGGAAACATAATAATGTATTTTATTAAAGCAATTGATTCCGTTGAGGAAAGGGCAATACATACACACCACTGAGTCCAAAAACCTAGGAGCCTCCTTCCATTTGTGTCAGATCTTGACAAGTGTTTGGAGATTTTTAGGGTCATACAAGAAAACAATCTATGGCCTCTTTGTGAAGACACACATCCCTCCGTCCATTACGACTGCCATAAATGTAAGGGCAAACCGGAAAGAGACGGAGTGGATTAAGAGCTGCAGTCTTTTCCTGTAAATATCAACTCCGAGATGATTGTCTGCAATAAGAACTTAACCCAAACCAGAAAACATGTTCCGACTTCAAGCCAGTTCAAAATCATTTCTGGTCTGAGACAGCTCCTCTTATCTCATTCAGCATTTCCCTGTTTCAAAGGCGTTTTGCCACCCAGAGAAAACACACACATCCTGCGTCGTGTCCTCTCTCCGGCCATCAGCAGAGAGGTGCACGCGTCCCCCCGATACCTACGCGAGCTTCCCGCTTGCCCTTGCACACCTGGACCGTTTGGAGCGGCACCAACCTGAACCCGACTTTGCGGGAGTAATGCAGGCAGTTCTCCTTGACGTGGGTCTGGAAGTAGGCGGAGCGGCACACGGCTCCGCACTCCGGGCAGCAGTAGGGAGACTTGTGAGCGTGGATCCTCTGGTGAGCACAGTAACTGCACTGGTTGGGGAGCATCATCTGGCACACTTGACACGTCTGATGGAAGAAAGGGCGCGTTAGTTATTTGCTCCACGCCAGCTTTTCATCCCCCCCAAATTCAGCCTAGAAAACCCTGAGGTTTAGAGAAAACCCCAGCATCTTCCACCTTGCTGCTACAAAATCCTGCAGCTATGCAGCTCGACGGCTTTTTCCCAAAAGAACTGAAGAACTTTTATAACTACCTATATCAGATGACTACATCCGTTCTTAAACCATGGCCTCTGCAATTTGGTTTTTTTTTCACCTAAAAAAAGGAAAACAAAACCTTTTGCCTCTGCTCAGAAAACCCTCTGCTTAGTCATCTTAGCAGTAAAGCCTTCGAGCAGGAAAGTGCTTGTCCCCCTGCAACTCAACTCAAAAGCACGTTAGAAGCACAACGCTTACCAGGAAGACGCTTTTGCCAAAGCAGCATCGTTTACTTTGCACCTAGAGCTTGTTTTTTTTCGAACTCTCAAACCTTGGCTCCCTTCCGCTGACACCGTAACACTTCTGTATTCCTCCAAAACCCTGGAGCAGCTATTAGTGTGCTACCAGGATATATTTTAGCTAATTCCTAGGCAGCAACATAGCAGTAGTAGACACCTGCCCTCCGGACTTGAACTGAACCTCTCTTCCGACATCAATTTACCCATGCAAAATTGTTCTCCTCCCAGCTCTACACTGTGCACGAACTGCAGCAAACTGCTCATTAAGGCTTATCAGACCAGGTAATTTAATTGCGTCCTTGGTTCAGCGCTGCTGAAAAAAGGCTTCAGGCCTGATTACATCAGAGGCGGCGCAAAACTGTACCCGAGGGCACGTCCACGGAGCCCAGGGAAGCTTCTACCGCAGCGCGGGTGCCCACAGAGTCCCCCGGACCAAACCAGGCAAAGAGACTGAAGCACCGGAGGGGAAAGCGGTGCCAGCAGCCCCTAAATCTGGCAAAATCCTAACACCGCTTTCGGGCTGATTCGGGTTTCTGCGCTGTCGTTATTCCAGCTGTCGGCTGTAGGACACTCCGCTATGTAAATCCTGGTGGGAAAGCATCAGGGAAAGCTGCAGGTAGCAGAAAGGGTCATTGGTATGAAGAGCCAAAGCTGTGACCCAGCTGAAAAGTTTCATGGGAAAACAAGAAAGAAAAAGAAAAGAAAAAAGAGAGAGAAGGAAGGAAACAGAAATAAAAAGTAAGAGAAGGAAAGAAGAGACTTGCAGAAAGAAGCAGCTGAATAAATCACCAGCAAGCCCAACGCTTCAAGGACACTCGTTACAAGTGGGAGTTAAGAACAGAAAATATTTGAAGAAAGAGATAGAGCGGTAGAAGGAAGCCCGACGTCAGCCTCCCCGCAACCCCCGCATCTTAAAGAAACCCCTTTCCAATAAACTCCAGAGTGGTTCAGCACTTCCCCAAGGGGAAATCCCTGCCCAAGACATGGGTTGAACCTGTGAAATATAAGCGGGTCCGGTGGCCCCAAGAGAGCTCTGCTCTCTTTAGGGGCAAAGTAGTGCTGTGTGGGACCTCCCGTTGTCCAAACCTGCCCCAGATAACAAATGAAAGAAGAAATCTGTGCCCTGGGAAACCTGGGGCTGATTTAATGTCTTTTTATTATTATTATTATTATTTCTTTTTAACTACAGCCAGGATTTTTAGCCTCTCTAGCAAACCATGTCCAAGGCTCTCCCGGTGCTCTGGCAGCTGGCACACCCCCAACATCTGGATAGTCCCCACCGCATCACATGGGAAGCTCAGCGGGGACAACACACGCTCAGATAGAGCAGAAGGAAGCACGGGGAGATGCCTGGCAAGAGGCATTGAAACTAATAGTTATCTCCTGCGGGCTCCGCACGAGCTGGATGCCTGCCAGGGAGTGCATACAGCCGATACGGGAATAAAAAGCCAGGCTGAGCGAGGATAAGGCTAAATGAATTTATTGTGTCTGCATCCGCCGTGGATGGAGCTGGACGGGTTCCCACGCGGCCACCGCACTCTGCGGAGAACGCGGAGTTCAGCAAGAAAAGAGAGAAGTGAATGAAAGCCCCAGGCTTCAGCTCCGATTGTCCCACGGAAAGGAGGGCCTGGAGCATATGGACCCAATGATGACTCACAAGGGCAAATTAGCAAAGAATAACTGAGACCAGCCTATTTAACCACTGCTAATTCTGTACTTGGGAGGAGTCAACACAAGGCCTCCAGGCCTCCTTCACAGAGTGGGCCAAGCTCTCCACAGGAGTCAAAAAAAAAAAAATGCAGAAATAAGATTTGACCTACAGTAGCTCAGGCATCTACCTGGACTTCCCAAAGGGTTTTGACAACACCCTTTGTCAGAGGCTTTTAAGGAAATTAACCCAACACAGCCTGGATGAAGGTCCCCGGGAAGGTTTTGCTGAGATTTGGGTTCTTCTAAGTTTTCACAACACATCCAGGCAAAGGCAACGAGCAGGGAAGGGGCTGATGATACCTGGGTAGCTCAAGCCATGACAGCTGAAGGACAGCCCCCAAGAAGTGGGAGAAAACAGAAGCGTGAGGAGATCAGGCAATAAAACAGAGAGAGAGAGAGAGAGGAAAAAACCCAAGAAACAAAAATCCACATGACAGTTTTATCCTTCTTCTCATCTTTTTCCACCCCCATCATCTCCAAACGACAACACCACAAAATCCAGGCCCCTCATGCCCAGAGACCTCAAGGTAGGAGCAGAGGGGTAGACGGACCCAGGCTCCCATTAAAGCTTCATCGTGGAGCCTCAGCGGCGTTTTCTTTTGCAACTCGTCTGCTTTGTGCAAGGAATCCTTAACTTGCTTCCAGCTGTCACATTTTTATCTCTTTCTCTAGTTTTCCATGACTTTTTCAAAGAAAGCTGGCAGCAATTTGAGACAGTCATTAGTCAGTTATTTCTAAAGTCTGTTACCAGGATATTGAGTTGTGTAACGTCTGTGTGTATTTTTTTTTTTAGATACTCCCGTTAACCTACGCTTTAATCAAGAGTTATTTATTGCAGGTTTTCATTACTTCCCATTTGCCTGTAACATTTCATCTCAGTTGTTCCTCCAGAAGTCACATTCACACACACACAAATGTTCAGAAGCTCACTCATCGCTGAATACTTTATTTTATTCCCATTCCTCCTTATTAGCTTCTTCAGAAGGGCTGGAAAAAAATAATCACTGGAGTATATAAAAATAAATTTAAAAAATAGTATTACTAAACAGAACCCTGTGGTCTTTGAAGTGTTGGCAAGCCAGGAAATTCACAGCACACAACCCTTTACTGAAAAAGGCCCATGTAAGGGCAGCACCAGTGGCTTTTCTGTTCATTTTTCAATGAAACAATTGCCTAACTGACTCTCTGGCAATCAGGATCCAAGGATTACATTGCAAGTAAAGTTCACAAACTCAGAGCAAGCCCCCTTCTCACACCAGCAGCACTGCTACATGCCTGCAGCAAACCTTCTTGCTCGGATAAAGCCCATAACTCTCCAGGGCCTGGTTCTCATGAACATGCAAAGAACAGAACATGGGGGTGCAAAAAGTCTCCTCACTTCCAATGGGTAGCTATTCCAAAAGGAATTGACCTTGGCCCAAGCCAAGAAACTGGCCATCCCTTTTGGCTTCCCATTACAGCTGGAGAGGTTTAACAGCCTCGATGGAAGTTCACATCCATTTAGAGGTGTCCTCAGATACAATGTGCCCAACATTATCATGTACCTTCCACTGAAAATGCAGAAATAGACTAACTTTAAAGCATGAGATCTGAGCTACAAGACAAAAAGAGGAGTTTATAATAAGGCTGGCAACTTAAAAGGAATATAAGGACTCCGAGTGAACCAGCAGAGGGGAACAGCCATGATATTTTTGAAATGCAAATAGATTAAGGAGTCCTTTATATATCCAAAGCAAAAAAAAAACCTCTCAAAGAAGGGCCCCAAGTGCTTCCCAAATGCAGCTTTTGGAAAGCTCTGCTTTTTGTACTTTAGGCAGGGCTCGGGGGCAGCTGATACTCCCCATCGCTGAGCGATCACAGGCAGTTAGCAACGCATGACGGAGACAAGCAGGATGCTTCTGCTATAAAAAAAAAATAGCAGGGAATTACTACTTAAGGTTAACCTTTAACTTCCCATTAGCTTTCACTTACTGCCTTCCCTGGGACAAATGCCAGCAACCTGCATCCTACAGGGGAGATGCTGTGCTGTGTGTTTACATGCGGGAAGGCTGGTTACCAAATTTGCGGCTCACCCACCTTCTTTGCCTCCTGCTAGCACAGCGGCTTCCTGGGCCAGGCCAACCATCTCCAGATGATCCAACACGCTCAGAGGAAGATTTTTGACTTGCTTTATCATGACAAAGCCATAGACAACATTGCTGCACCGAAGTTTGAGCAATGCAAAAGGGACAAGCAGAGAATTTCTTCCCCTAAGCTTTGTAATAACCAAGCTGCATCCCTGCATCTCCCCTTAAATAAATCTGTCTTGCTGCATTAATTATTCAATTTACAGATCAAAAAATACAAGAGAAGCGTGTCAAATTAATTATAAGAAGTTAAACCTAGAATCCAGCTGACTTAAAACCACTGTGGTGAAATTCTGATGACAGAATATGCATCAAGCTGATCAACAGGTGAGTTTACCCCAGTTAGCACCTATAAAGCATACAACTTTTGCATTAAGCGTGGTGACATAAAAGAGAGGTTCTTATTTCATTGGTTATGTTTTAAAATGTCAGATTTAGGATCCAGCAAGGGAACCTGTTTTGACTTCTATCTATAGGATATGGTTAGAGGATGCTCTTGTATCCTACACCACGGCCAAAATTTTCTGCTAGCTGCTGTCCTGTCAATGGTCACCGATCCCCCCCTCCATGTGGTCCATCCTTAGCATCATCTCTCTACTTTGTCACATTTGCCCTGGTCACTCTTATTTCTCTTCCTTTACCTCCTTCCCTGTGCAATGCTCTCCAACCCAATGCTGTTCTTAGATCCTCAGCAAGAACAACTCTCCCGGATACACACGTCTAAACTGATGAATGC